CACTGATTCTCGGTATTTGAACATTATAATATTTTATTATTTTGATCTGAGAACGCATAAAACGCACATACCGTTACCGCGGTCGACTACTTTAGAACTTGGACCCATATAGGCAATAGTTGTTAAGTTCAACTCATTCTATATAGATTAGGTTATTTAATGCAATTTACAACCGGGTGCGTACAACATACTGCTGGGTTTGCTGTACTAGGTATATTCGACAGTTAGGTAACACCGGCCGTTTAAGCGCAACTAGTGTACCAGACTCTAGTGTAAAACTAAATATGATACCCTTAGTCCTGCCCTTTACAATTTTTATATCACTGTTTATGACAAACGACCATTAGAAGAAGCACATACACATTACTTCTCTAAACATAAGGTCCTATAGGATTACACACTGCATACATGCATATTGTTTGGTCAGTAAATCATAAATCAGAGCAAAAATTATTAAATTTTGAATTAATATTATTTAGTTACATTTATGTTATATAGTTTGTGGTTTTGTTAAATAGCTATAACTTTTTTGTTTGACAATATTTTATAAAGAAAAAGCAACTCGATGTCCTCAAAAATATTCTTCTTTTTCGATTTTTCATTATTTGTATTTAAACTCTAACTTCAACTTAAAGGCCACAGTTTAAATTCTAATTGTAATTTTGCTATATTGCCGGCAAATGCGGTGTGGCTTTATACACACATATACATTATAATTAATGTGCATGTAAGTACATTATGTAAATATGAAGTCCCTAAAAAATAAATATGCCCCTTATGAAGTTTGGTGCCACTGGCGGATTTTTATATTTCACTTTGTGCTTTCTCTTGCGCGATACTTGCACACGGGTGTACAGATATAGGAGGTACCCTGCTATATTTTATACATAACATACAAGCCATATCACACGCACGCATGCATATTATCCTAATGACAATGACGGTAATAACAACGTCATAACAGCTCCTTTTATGCCCGTCCGCAGCCGGTTAATTTCTTATTTCTACTCGGTCCCGGTGGTGTGTATACCTCCTCTGTTTATATGCCGTCTTTGCCGTTGCTCCAGCGCCTTCCTATATTATATGTGTAACAGCTATATCATCTCTCTCTCTCTCGCCTAGGTTCCTCTCGGTTGAACTATAATATATATATATATATATATATATATATATATATATATATACGAACCGTACCTGTATGTTATACCGCTGAGGATCTTTTGTTGGGCGTTATTAAATTACACGTACAATTTACTCCCCCCCCTCATCCCCCGTGGTAACGATAGCGGAACAGGGCTTCTCAAAAAAAACCACACACAGTCACAGGTGAGCCTACCTGTATTCTTATATAAGTTACACGGCCAAGTGTATACGCCAATGGAATATTTGTACTCGAAAATAGTATATAGTTTTATATTATATATATTTGCTATACTGTCTGGACATAACTGGAACTCCGGCTCTAGGGAATTTTCATGGTCTCTATTCGGTCCAGATATACACATATATTATAATTTATCTCTAAACTAGAGCAGTATATTATAATAATAATTACAAGGCGAAAACCAATTTCTTAACGATATTAATTATGTTATCTGTGCGGGGCAAACCCGTTTAGTGAGTTTCGACGAAAATTGATTGTTTTAATTTATATATTTAAAAAAATGTGTGTGTGTATATATATATTTGTAAATATAATATAGAGTTTATATTAATATAATTATACAGTATTGCCGTCAGCCGTGATAATCGTTGTATATATTATAATACATGGGTATTATAAATTCGATCGGTTATAAAAAAATGTTTTTTTTTTTTAATAAATCAACATGTGAAATTAATTAGTACCGTTGTTTTACATATATAATTTCCGTGTGCCACGTATATTACCTATAGTATTTAGGTATTCAGATCAAATGTTTAGTATACAGAACTTAATAATAATAACAATAACATAATATATTGTACCAATATCCGTACAAAAAACAAAGGCAGATCCAATGGGAAAATATTCTATAAGGACGAGCAAAATGTGGGCAAAGGTTTAGTGTATAAAAACCCGTTGTGCTAGAAGTAAAGCGCCCCGGTGTCTGTGTAAGTTCCTGTAAGTATGATATGAGTGAAGTATAGGAACACCTAATAGATGTGGTCGAATAGTGATGATGGTTCTACCGGCTTGTATCAGTCGCGATTCGGCCGGTAGACAATCTGTGGCATAAAAAAATTGTTTTAAAAAAAAAATACACCATTATATTAATAAGATTAGTGGGATCGGCGTACGGTTTTAATAGTGTATATTATCAGCTTGTCGATAATATATATATACCTACTAATGAAAATGTATATGTTCTATTAATTTTTTTGTTTTTTCACATACAACCGGCAGGGTGCCATCTGTCAACGGTACATGAATTATGATGTTTCACGGTTATACAAACTGCCGAATCATGAATAGCTAATGATTTCCACTAGAAATCAAGATAGGACCAACAGTCGACGGGATTACAATATTATTACTACTTTATCAGATGAAAACCTAAGTATAATCGCTTTCGATGTACACAATGAGTATATGGTTTTTGCGTTTAGTTCTCATCAAATTTTTTTTTAGGCATTTTCCAATTATCATTTTCATCCCGATTTATAAGGTTCATATTACTATCGTTTTTTTTTTTTTTTAATTATGTTAACCCGTGTACCTATATAATACAGTTTGTAGGTATTATTAAACTCAGACAACTATAATCGGTGCCCGTGTAATGTAATGTACATTAAAAAATGAATTAACGTGACTTAATGAAAAACATTTGCAATCCTTTATCCTTTAATTTAATCATTTTTAAGATTTGTGTGTAAAACAAATCAATGACGATACCTTTATTTTTTAATTGAAATTATGTAAAATAATATACAAGTATTTTATACAGTATTACGAACAATTGATTAACTATAATGTATTGTAACTTACATACTTGTATTGTTTGTACTCGTTTGAGGAGATGTCGGAAGGAAGTATTGCTAAGTGAGTATAGAGAATTTTTGCTTTGCTAGGAGAGTAGAATAATACAAATATATATACTTGTATTTCTCTATCATATTTTTTTCATGATGATTTAAAAAATATCAAACGCACAATTATTCATGTGCAAGTGCATACATAAAGTCGACGGTATTATTATCGCGTTAATTGTATTGTAGTACACTTTGGTCACCACTGATTAACATAATAATAATACAACATAACCGACCGTCTTCAGAGTACAAGAAAATCGTTATTTGAGTGTGCTGCTGATGGTCGAGAGAGAGAAAGAGAAAAAGTGTTGAATATTATGAGGTGTTGGGTGCCCGTCAAACGGCCGTACTTAATGTCTTCACACCGTGCCGACCGCCGAGACTAATTGTAAAAGATGTCTTCATCGTATAGTATACATACATATACACACACAGATGTCAGAATAAAGTGGCTTTACATTGCCCGTATACAATAATAATAATAATAATAAAAATACAGTCATCATTCTTTCTCCTCCTCCTCCTAGTGGACGTTTGACTTTTTTTTCTCATATACACACATAGGTAGGAACATTATTATTATTTTTTTTTTTTTACTTGACGGAAATAATAATTATTATTAAATTATTATAACGTGGTACATTGCGTATATCACGTTATTTATAATATACTATGTTATTATTATTATTTTTGAAGGAAAATATCTGGGAAAATAATAATATAATACAAAATAAACTAATATTTATAATCCAACGTCGTTGTCGTCGTTTGATTTTTTTAATTCAATTTTTTTTTTTTAAATATATAATCGTATACATTATATTATATTAAAAATCTTATATAATGTTAAAAAAAAAAAAAAAAAACAACTCACTTTTAATATTTATAAATGTATATCATATTTTTATTATACACAAGTCATTCCGGAACAGACGGTTTAATACAACAGTTAAAAATAATAATTTAATTAATAATAATAAGACAAAGGTCGATAATGATGACGATGATGGTGATAACGACTATGATCGCTTATTAAAATTGTTAGTTAATGTATGTATGTATATATTATATTACAATAAATCAACAACAACGGGATGATGTGTTTTTTTCTATACACGAAACAAAGAGGGGGGAGGAGGTGAAAAGCAGTATACATATACATGTTATACTTCCCGTCTATACAACTTAACTCTGAACTTAACTCATTATGTACCTATAAATATATATTGCACTCGCATATTTATTACATAATATAATATATTATAAATCAGAATTTATTATACTCAGACATAGGTAATATTATAATATCGTATTGCTCGCCGTTCTCAAACAAAAATATATAATTATATTGTACAATATTAAAAAATATACCATAAAATAATATGCCATGATATATAATTATAGCCGTTGCCAATATACTATATCCGATTTATATACAATGTATATAATATTATCATTACAATTATTATTATTTTACATTTATATGTAATATACAAATATATAAATTTGACTAGATTTGATTAAACGTTAAATAATTGCCTGAGACATTTTTTTTTATGGTCTAATCGTATTTACGCTGTCGGTCGATAAAAGATGTATATCTATATATATATATATATGTTATTGTTTTTTTTTGTTTTTGAGAAGTTAAAAAATAAATAAATTTGGCATATTTCCATGTTTTTAAACAATACATATATTTATATTATTATTACCTTTAAAAAAATGGTGGCTGTCGAAAAAAAAAGTAGTAGATACACTTAATACTTAAACAACTAATAATAATTAGTCTACAGTCTTAACGAAAAGAAGAAGTATCGTTGTAAACCGTTTTACGTTGATAACAGTATCAATAAAACGGAATATATAGGAACCTAATTAATAATATTAATAATAATAGTTATGGAAATTAATAATGATGATAGCGAATAAATATATTATACCTATAATAGTTACACAGTGTACAGACAGGCGGCCAAAAGATAACTTCACAGTTTCGTGTTGTTATTATTGTTGTTGCTGTTGTTGTTGTTGTTATTGTTTTGGACGATCGTGGTCCGGGCGGCCGCGGTGAGACTGAACGGCCGGTTGCCGCCCGCCAACAGGGACTCGATGCTGAACGGGTTGAGGCGCCGTACCTTGTCGGCGGCCGCCGTGGACGCGGTGGTCAGGTTCAACAGGGGCGACGACTCTTCGTCGTTGGGCGGCGGCGGCGGCCTCGGCCGGTACAGGTGGTGTCTGCCGTATAGCTCGTCGTCCGAGCTACAGCTCTCGTCCCGGCACGCCGCGGCCACCGCGGCGGCTGCGGCCGCCCGGGCGTACGGCGGCAAGCCCTCGTCCTCGTCCTCGTCGTCGTCGTCGTCGTCGTCGTCGTCCTCGTCGTCGAACGTCGTGCTGGCGCTGCGCCGGTGCAACCGTCTATGATGATCTTCCTCGCCGACCACGTCGATTTCCTCGTCCCTGCTCGTCTGGCCGCTGCAACAGCTCGACGAGTCGTGCAAGGATAAGTCCATGCCGTTGTTCGACGACCCTCCGCCCACTCCACAGTTTATCTGACCGTGTTTTTTAGCAGCATCTAGAAAAATTAAATAAAAAATTGAAAATTAATTTTACTCGAAAACCATATTATTATCATTCAATATACGAATTGGTCGATAGGGAATTAATTTGACTCCGAGTCAATAAATATAATACATTCGTTAATAAAAATACACATCAATGACGGCAATCATGGAGCCAAGCATTGCCCAATTAATAGTAATATATTATATAGTACAAAGAAATGGCATTTAACACTTGCTTTAATATAACAGTGGCTACACAAAGGCCAAGGCCGCAGAGACCTGCGCGTTTTGTAAGTATTATACATAATACACATGTACGTACAGTGTCTCAAACTACTTCTATAAGACGATATTTCCCATACAAGGAAATAAATATACAAAGTGAAAATACGATTTGTTTTTTCTATACCAATAATCAATTAGTGCTAAACTAACTCTATGCATCCAACAGTAAAAGAAAAAAAGACATGGAAAAATGTGGGGAATAAACAAATAGATATGATGGCGCAGATGATAAAAATGGAGTTTTGTATGTAAGGTAAGGCGCGAAGAATAAACCAAGAGCGACATTTTAGTCAAAAAGAAATTTCGTTGTTTAAAATCGATTACTTGGAATAACTTTGTTGGTCGTAGGAGATTCTACGTAGTATATATGTATAATTTTTTAGAAAGTGATATTGCGCAGAAAATCCAGAAAAATTGATATTCTATTGTAAGAAAATAAATTGAAAAAAATTACAATTATTTTTTGGGTTCTGCGCGATTTAACATTTTTATTTTCGCCGGACACTATAAACACGTCGTTCCGTGTGTAATATTCGGTTGTGTGTACGGAATCCATGTATTATTATTTTTCTGTAGGAAAATATTCAATTGGCGGAAACACTCGGTATTATACAGTGTCTAGACGTGTCTACTACATATGTGTAAGTATTCCAACGACAATTTGGACATAATAATAGTTTATGCGCATGCGTTCCGCTTGTGTCGACCGTGTGTGGAATACTTGGGCACCTATATTTTAAATAACGCGGATGGCATGGCCGTCTCTATGTCCTAATAGAATTGGTTTTGATTGGCTATATTATTATTATTATGTGTTTCTTCTGTGGACGAATATATCACACGAGAAAACGACCGCGTCGAAAGGTATAATGTAATGGACGGATGATAGAAAAAAAAACGGTAGCGATATTGTCAGGCACAATCCGAATGTTATTATACGAAAACTCCGTTTTATATTGTGTTATACTATACGATTGCCAATTGGAAGAGTCCTATAATAAGAGAAATAATATATAATAATACTAATAATATATAATCGTTGGCGTTCGGCACCCATTGAACAGTGGCGGCGGCGACAATAACATATTATTATTGTTGTATGTATAAAAAAAACGTTCTCCCTCAATTTTTCTGGTCATTACACAAGTCTGATTATTATTGTCGATGGCCTAGAAATGATTTAATAAACCTCATACGAAGACTTCTCGGCGAATCAACACCGGCCGTAACAATATATTGAGAACATACGCGAGGAACATAATATATGCCCGACCTCTGCACAGTTTATACACTTTAGTATGTTCCATCATAGCTGTACTTTGTAAAGGTCTGCATTAACATTTGATCCATCACCCTATGTACACTGAGTATAATATTCTAGTGCGATTTAGTACCCTGGTATACTCAAATTCATAAATTGACAGAGCCTAATCGCGTCACGAAATGCCAAGAAAATTTTGGAATGACCCTTGGCGGTGTATGTCCATGTTAAAACCAAAAACATGTTTTATTAAAATGACACAAATGGCACACTCACTGTTGGCTTGCTGCGACTCCCATTCCTTGCGCAAGGTCTCCAAGTCCACGTGCACGCCTTTGGCGGCCAACTTCCTCTGCTGTCGCTCCAAGCTCTTGAGCAGTTTCTTCTGTCGACGTTCGCGTTCTTTGCGCCTCAGCTCGTCCGCCGGAATTGGTTCGCCGGAACAAGTGACCGGATGTGCGTTGTGCGCCGGTCGGCCGGGTCCTTTTTTGGTGTGCTCTTTTTTCCTCCACTTGGCCCTTCGGTTCTGAAACCATACCTAAGAGCAAAACAGACAAAAAACAAAAAAAAAAGGTTAACTAAATAGTATAGAAACAAGTTTACACACACACACACATGTTATCAATTTGTGTGCGACCAACAATAACGGTGGTGGGGGTGAACAATATACTGGCGGTAAATCGCGTTTAAATTTCTCAACAATAATATCCGGCAAATAAAATAAAAACAGAAGCGAATCCTCGGTCTCTATCTGCACATTATATGTATATATATATATAAATAGTTTATCATCTATTTCTCGCTTCCGGCGTTCAAAACCAGAACGTATTGCACCCGTGGGACTTGTCCCTTGAAAGTATATATATATATATATATATATATGTATATACACCTACTGTAAGTATAAAGCGAAGCGGACAACATGGTGGCGCAGATTATTTAACCGTACACGAACCATTTGTGTTTTTCGCCCCTGCCTCGATAAAAAAAAAACGCCAACCAAAAAAACACCCCTAACGCGAACCGTTCATTGGGAATGAAATGCGGCTTTAAATCAAAACTGCCGCAAGGGTGGCGGGCAGCGGAGGGGCTATACTCGAGGGAGCTTATACTAGCACATATACACACTAACGCCAAAGATAAAAAGCCAATTCTCTCCCTTCGCCGACAACATGATAATAACATAACGCTACAAACAATATAATGTACTTACGGCCACTCTGGATTCCTTGAGGTCCAACCGCAGAGCCAGCGCTTCCCTCATGAACACGTCCGGGTAGTGGCTGGCCATGAACGCCCTCTCCAGTTCTTCCAGCTGCCACGTGTTAAAGTTGGTCCTGGATCTCCGCCGCTTGTTGGCCAAGTCTTCGGAACTGCCAGCGGCGCTGTCGCCGTCGATACCTGCGCAAAAAATAAAAAACGTTGAAAAATTATTATTTTTGTTATTATAGTGTTAACGAATACACACATAAGGAGAAAAGAGTTCAAAGGGATGGGCTAAAGCGTGGCCAGAATCAAATAATTATGCGGTTACTAGACGGCGACCGTCGTCAATGACCGTGGTGAAAACCGTATCATAAATTTCCACGGTATGGTTTAATTTTATTTTCGACGAAGAAACGTAAATTTGGTAGAGTGCGACAAGAGGTTTTGGTATACACCCTGTGTCGATAAACACAAATTATTATTTTTCCATCAATTTTTTAGCATTTAGCGAGGCGTTAACATTAATTTATATGTGTTTTTTAATGTTCACAATTATAATGCGTGCGCTACTACGCGGACAAGAGCAATATTACGGGCTGACATAAATATTTCACACCTCGTTGTGTGCGTTACCGATTTTGTACGCGGCCAATGCGCTAATTCATGCGTGCACGTTTTGCACGAGTAACTCGGTAAATTTGCATAGATATTGAATATTAAATATGATAATGGTATATTTAATATTATACGAGAAACGATTGAAAATTATGATAATGCCGCGTTGGTCACGTCGGGCCGTGCTTAATTATCGACGCAGTCAAAATAATATTATTGCATGTCATTTTTTACCGTAAACGAAATAATTGTTTTTAGCAACAATAAATCAAATAAAAAAAACGTCCATACAAAACTATATTAAATTATCACAAAACCAAATTGTATTGTTCAACCGTTATAACTAAATAGCGTAAGTACTAACAAGTTACTCCTGTAATATACATAGTAGGTAAAACTTACAAAACGCCGAATAAAATATGTTTTACATGAAATATTTTCCACCAAAAGACGTTTATTGAAATATAGTAAATGTTAATATTAATTTTAAATTGCCAACTTCCATCATACCCAAATATGCTTATTGGCCAAAATGCTATAAAACTCCTTCTCATACCAGATTATATTATCATCTGTACTATATAGTGTGTCAGTGTTAAACCCATACAAACGCTTGGGGAGAGTCGTATAAGATATTATTGACATTGGCGAACATTTGAGGGGGAGGGGGTTGGAATTCTAAAAACCTCAAAACTTAAAATCAGTACTACGTTTATTTTTATTTCGACAAACCTATTACTAAAAAATAAATGTAGCTTTTTTAAGTTTTAAGACCTATCCCAACCCCCCTCATCAAATGGCGCCACTCATAATTATTGAGGTTTAAAACTTTGGGCAGACCGTTTTGGGCGTGTGATTTTTGATTAGCGACAAAGTCGAAAATGAACTTTTCCGGAGCCTACATATAACTTTTTCGAAATTGAAATAGCCGTAAGCCATTCGGGCGGCCGTACCCCACGCTTTATTTACAAACCCCAAAACCGCGTGTTCACACAAGTTGTGAGCTTATACAACAACTTTCGATAATCCAATATATCTGATAGGAGGACACCTTGGCTGATCAATGGCCCCGGTGGGATGTCGGCCGATATCGCGGCATAGCAAAGGGGTGTGTGTAAGTATAGTAGAGATATAATATACATGTGTATGTATAATATTATTGTTATGAAAACCAAAGACGTTAAAACAATTTCGCGAACGCGTCGTAAATCACCGAAGCGACGCATGAGAATATTGGCCGAAACGCCATATGTGTGTGTATTGTATGTACAATATTATTTTTGAAATATGAAATAAGATATTGAAACGCCACATAGATAATACAATATGGAGTGGAGATGCGCCAAGCGGAGTTGAGGCAAGCTTGTGTATGTTAGTATACACATATGTATGGTTTTTACAAACGGAGGCTTTATAATATAATGTTGTTGTATATGTACATCTTGGGCCGGGGCAGACGGTCGTAAATCACTGAAATATGGAAAAGCATAAAGAGACAAGACCGCCGACTAGATAATAATATTAATATATAAATAGAGCGCCGCCAAATGGAAACGCTTTTCCCGAGTTTTCTCCACATAATGCGCGCCAAAAGCGAAGCGAAGGGGAGAAAAATTAATTTTCGCACACAATAAGTCGGATCCGGTCGACGAAAAAGGGTCGGAAAAGCTAAAAGAAGGAAACAAAATAATAAAAGAAATCTCACCACTTACAATCGGACCGAATATAATATTATTATGATAACGCAAGTGCTGTCCAAACGAATTGTTTTTTCTGGTATACACAACATAATATAATAATAATATGCCCAGCGTTTATGATACATACTATGGCGTCCCCCGTTCGAACGTCTTATCGCTCAGTCCCAGATAGGACCTATTATAATATTATATATACTATAAGGGTATTGTGTATTTCATTTTGAATCCGGCACCGAAAAAGATGAAACTGAACACTAGAATCCTGACCGTGAGCTGTTGAATAAGAACATCATGGAATCCCAAGGTGGATATGTCAATGAAATGGACCATCAGCACTTGTGGCCTAATTGTAAATAATTAGGTAGCTTGATCGACCATCAAAACTATAATCATAAACGTTCTCTTGCTCTAATTGATGTTACCATTAAATATTAAAATAGTTTGAATTCGATGGTTAAAAATGTTCATTATGTTTTTAAATTACAGCCGAGACACTGTTGGGGTGAACCCTAACAATTACTGCAGAACTTGCTCCATAATGATCTAGGTTTTAGTGCCGTCTCTGATGAGTTTAAACCAAAATAGACAAAATAGTAATAGATTAGATGAATAGGTATGGAAAGGAAAGTAGATTTTGTTTTATTAATACTAATAAAATTTTATGTGTGCAAAGAAAATACAAAGTTTCAATAACATTTAAAATTGTTATGTACTAGTAATAATTTGTTTTGGAATTATAATAATTTGTTTAGAATTCTCAACGTTCTTTTCAGGTAAAATTGATAAATTCATAAAACAAGTAGGTACTTTTAAATAAATGTACTACTATGACAGCTGTGTGGACTTTGGTTCAAGCGAGCCATTGTACGCTTTTAAAAATTGTTAATGCGGTTAATAAGTCCAAAATGTACCCATCTTGACCCAACACACAGATTTATATTCTGCAATTTAAATACCGACACAAAAGAACCTCGTTAAGGAAATTTTACTCGAATCGACACTATTGACATGTAGAAATTCTCTTGAGACTGATAATTGATAACTTAAACTATTGCCGCTCATGTTATTTCGGAACTTGGATGTATAAACGGAGAACAAATTGTAATATTATCAAATATGTATAAAATGTGTTGTTTACTTCCTACATCAATGTTCACCACGTCTGGCGATGTTGCCTCTTATTCTGATGATGCAAGTGCACTGTCGACAACGGGGAAAAGGTGTCAGCTGACAGGAGAAAACGAGGTAGGTATTGTAACTACTTACATTATAATATAATTCTAAACAAGTGTGAAGATTGGGTGGACCGATGACCGTGTCAAACGCTATTCGTTATAATTGAATTAACGATAGCGACCACTACCGACGGTCTCACGATATGCGCGCATGGCCGACACCACCGCCTTACTCTCTCTATGTACAATAAAAAAAATAATAAAGTAGTACTTAGGCGCCTCCTAGGACCGTACGACGACTATATAGAAACAGGCAATACAGTGCAGTGCAAAATCTCCAAATATTACCAATAGCCATTAATACAATATAACTGTTTGTCAGGTGCCTATCTAGTTAACTTCCCCTAACCTAACCCTCCCCTAAGGCACATGATGAGACAGCCGGGTAGCATATTATTATGTTAGAGTAGGACTGTACATTTGTATTTTCTTATACGATCAACGCCAGCGTCTCTGATTATAGCGTCGTTATCTCTCACCTTCTGTACCTATATATCTCTATCATATCAAGTGTATATACTCATATTATACTTGTATATTATGAGCGAGCTACGCGTGGGTCGCATTACCGGTCACGTGTGTGGGGCGTCTAAAGTTTGTTTACGAATTTCCATTAGACACTCCATGTGCCCGTCTCAACGGCGATAGGATAGCTGGCTGGTGGTGTTTTTAATTAAACAAAGTTTGTATACTTGATGGATGACAACGGTCATATATATATATAAGTTAATAAGCAATCGCGCTATGGAGACTATAGTTCAATTACTCTAGCACAGCGTTCAAACGTGATATTGTTATTATGTACATATTATACACTTATTGTTATTATATATTGTATTATGTTATAACTTATAATATTGTGTTTGGCCGAAACACACTAGCAAACCCTATGTAAAGTATACCTATATTTTGAGAAGACCTCCGTATCTGAACCCCCTCCCCAAATTTCTATAAGTAATAAAATTGTCACTTTACCGGACACCTGCGCTACATCTCACGTATACTACTTTTGATCGTTCTAACCATCCGTAGTTAAAAAATTAGAAAAACTGTGTCGATGGTCTCTGATATAATAGTTTTAATGACATTATCCAAAACACATTGGCAAATGCCAACATTATTCAAATGTTAACATTAGCCGTGACATATATCATATAAGTATAATTATAACTAAATGAAAGGCTTGGGCATTCGATTAGATACTCGGGAGGTGCCGCGATTAATCTATTAAAAGAAGAAAACAAAAGGCGGACTGTTAATGGAGTAATTTCACGTTATAATTTTCGTCGGCCGGACGGAAGTAGTTATGTTATGACGTGGCGTGTATATCTGTATATAATAATAATGGTAATAACAATTACATCAACCGTTTCCATAGGTGGACGTTCGGTTGATACGATAGCACCGTAAAGGGGTAAAGGGGTAACCGTTTAACTCGGTTTCGGATGGAAAACGATTCGACTCTGGGCTATAAATCAACACGGTTTGTCACGGTTATACCATGAACGAGAGCCGTACTTAAGGTCTTGCCGGGTTCCCCGGATCTCGCCGACAAAAAAACTACATCACCTTCCTCCCCCCCCCCCTCAAAAAAAGGTAACCGTTCGCTCCAGGTGCCTCGCCCGGACCCTGCTCGGTTTCCACC